TTAGCTGGCTGTGACTCATGCCCCCCACCCCCCGGCCGTATCCGTGGTGACATATTGCTTCTATGTGCCGCACTCCAGCTATCCCAGAATCCCGAATTCCCTGCTCCGGTCGCATCATCAGGCGGCGGCGCTGCAGTGAGAGAGTGGGGAGAGGGGGGTTCATGAAGGTGCCCATTCCTCCTGCTCTGTGTACCCCCCCCCCCCACACGCTCTTCCCAGAGGTCCAGCTGTTGGAGAGTCATGCTTCCTCTGCCGTGGGAACGAGTTTTCATTGGTACAGGATGCCCCCCCCCCCCATATAAAATGCAAATATGGCGGTCAGGACAATTTCTACCGTGAGCCCCCACCCCCCGATGCCAGCTGGCCGCTCGCCGACACTGTGGCTTTATGGGTAATACTTCAGGTGTCCTACTTGCTGAGCAAGTGCTGCTGTCAGGAAACTAATTTGAGTCTCTGGGCCACTGAGGACAGCGAAGGAGGAGGAAATTACCGGAATGTGCAAGGAAAGAAGGGGCGTCAAGATCTAATGAGCCCGAGTGCTCTTTGTGGTGGTGGGCTTGAACCAGAGGTCTGTGTGTGTGTGTGTGTGTGTGTGTCTGTCAGTCAGTCAGTCAGTCAGTCAGTATCTGTTAGCCTGTATGTGTTTGTCTGTCTGTCTGTGTGTGTGTGTGTGTGTGTGTGTCAGTCAGTCAGTCAGTAAGTATCTGTTAGCCTGTATGTGTTTGTCTGTCTGTGTGTGTGTCTCAGCCTATGTTGGTGTGTGCCTGTGTTTATCTGTTGGCCTGTGTGTGTCTGGGTCTATCTGTCGGAGTGTACGTGTGTGTGTGTGTGTGTGTGTGTGTGTGTGTGTGTTTATCTGTTACATAGGAAATTTTACAAACAAGGAGGCCATCAAGCTTGTTTTGGGGAAGTTAGTTTGAGTGTGAGCCTATGTGTGTGTATCTGTGTATATATCTGTGAGCCTGTATGTAGGATTGTGTGTGTGTGTGTGTGTGTGTGTGTGTTTGGAGGGTTAGGGTGGTGACCGAAGCAGCTTTGCATTTCCACGCTGCTTCTTCACAGAACCTAAAGACTCTTTCACGTTTTCTTTCGTGTCTAATGCCGCTGTGACTCGTCTCTTCGCTGCCGATTGTATCCAGGGTAAGAACTCGGTCGGCTGTTTGCGGCGTCGTCGTCTCCGGCTGACGTCAGACGAGGCCCTGAGGCCGGACAGGCAGCCCCTATGTGGGCCACCAGCGCTGTGCCTCGCGCCGTGGGAGGCAGGGTGCCTCTGTATGAGGTGGACAGCGCCACCCCTTGGTCTGCTCCTCCAGAAAATAAGCCCTTTATGAAAAACAGTGCATCATGCTGGTTTTATATTTGCTATACCATGTCAGCTTTTGGAATGGGGAGTTATTCACATTCTTAATGCCTCCATATTGAACTTTATTTGCTCCTGTTTGGGGGTGGGGGCTTCGATCCGAACAGGTGGTGGATGAACAGAAAAGTTACGGAGTGGGACCGTCTGGGTCATACTGAGAGCAAATCGATAGTTCCCCCTTCCCCCTACCAGCCCCCGATAACGAACAAAGCAGATGTAAGTGCCCCCCTGTCACCTCACGGGTAATCCCATCTCCGGGCGGGATCACGTCACCAGCGAGGCTGATCTTTCCTCAGGGGGGGTGCCAGTATGCGTTTTCCGGGACGTCGTGTGCCCACCCATCCATCGTTTACTGGGGAGGGGGTGCCATGAGGGGGTGGACATGGTGCAGGCACATGGCAAAATTAAAACCCCTTTTAGCCTGGGCGCTGGTGGAAGGAGGGGGAGAGGACTCTCGAATACATTAGATTTTATTTTAGTCACATAAGCCCAGCCCCCCCCCCCCAAGGGAGCTGTCTGAATGTGTTGTGTGTTTTTATGTGTTTTATTGTAAGGCTGCTGCTCGGAGAATTCCTGCTGAGTCCGAATAATTCCCGAACTGGGGGGCTCTCCCTGATTTTCGTGGAGATGCGTCTTGCCCCCGATGCCCTGTCAGCTGCCTGGCCACACGCCTGGCTGCCCTACGACGCGTCTCAATTATGCCCCCTCCTGGTGGCCTGCAGTGAGGACCTTTGTGTGGGGCCGGATGCTAACTCCCGCTGTGTCCGACAAAGCTTGGCAACCGTAAGGCGAATAAATATTCACATTTAATGGCTCTAATAAGCTTTAATCCTGCCGTGATTGTCATTCCAGCCATGTTGGGAGTGAGTGGTGTCCTTTGTCACTCCACTGGGGGAGGGGTGAACGTGGGGTGAACAGAGCAGAGGCTGCCCTCCAGGCCATGCTATTGAACGCCCTTGTCTCATTGACCCGTCTGGCCACTGTCACGCTCAGCCTGTCTGGGACACAAAAACATGGCCCCTGGGTGTGTGTGCTTTTTTAATTTCATTTTGTTTTCCTGCAGAAGGACCTTTTTGGGGGTGGGGGTGGAAGAATCTCATTTAGCCCAATGCCCACCGTCTGACTTTGTCTTTTAAATGTCCCTTTAACCACCCAGGCAGTCATGGGTTTTGGGTCCTAAGGCTCACGCCCACAGGGGCGGGGTTCATTTTTCAGGCCACGCCCCACAGCCATAGCCGAGTGACCCTATTGGCTCAGTCATGCTCAGACATGGTCAGTCACAGATGGTTTAAGGTGAATCACCTGAAATAGAGAGGTGTGCTGTTTCGGACCAAAAACGGTGTGTCCTGGTTTTGTATCTTTAAATATGATTTTTTATTTTTTATCATTTTTTCTTGTCATATGTCTTGTCATATGACAAGCTCTCTGATGAGAAGGTCCCTCAGTAATCCCAACCTCAGCCCCCCTGAGATATAGAGTTCAGAGAAGCCTCAACACAAAAAGGCAGCATACCTGAAAGGAGAACTTGTCTTAAATGGTATAAGAAGGTAAATCCGACATGTAAAAGGGGACTGACACGTACCCTGACGTGATCACTGGCTGCAGCTCCACCCGGTGGCAGTGAGCGGATGACACGCAGTGTGGTCATGGAGACGATTCATTTAGACCAGCGCCGCAGTTTTCCATTATGGGGCGACAGGCTTCATAGGAGTTGCTGCTGGGAAGCTGGTCATACTGGGAATGGATCTGTGTTGAGATATTCCAGAGCAGAGAACCTTTAAGTACATGTAGGCAGATAACCACAACATCCATGTGAGGTTCTGTGGCCTTCAAAGTATTAATCGGGTTTTTAATGACTTTTTGAAGATGGATGGAACAGCTACCTGGCCGTACTGATGGTCAACTTCTGATTGGCTAATCCAGATCTTGATGCCCCTCCCCCCAGTAAACTTTTACCAGATCCGCCTTTGGGTGACCTGAGCATCTTCTCAGTCTTCCCCAGCTCTGGTTATTCCCAGCTCTGGGTCACGCCCCCTCCTAGCCCAAAAGGGTTATCCTTCCATCCTCTTTTTTCCAGTCTTATCCTTGATTACCAGCTGATGTGGCTTTCCAGGCCCAGATCCTCATTTAATAACATTGCATTGCCTTTTTGTATTCGGCAGATGCTTTTGTTTAAAGCGACCTACAAGAGAAAGCTTTGGGTCAGGGAGGAGAGTCAGTCAGCATGCAGCCCCCCATGCCGCCCCCCCCCCCCCCCCCCCCCCCCCTTGGAGAGGGTAGGATCCAGAAACCAAAATGATGATACGATAACTCTGCTGACTACAGGATTCAAACCCACAGCCTCCTGGAATCTGGCACAGAGCCCTTAACTCATTGGGTGGGGAAGCAGACTTAACAGGTGCCTTTAGATGCTATTAAGAGCACCTGTTTTTCCTCCTGTTCTCAGATTCCAAGCGCCATTTGTGCACTTCCTGTCTGTAAATAAATACTTTTACTCACCCCCCCACCCCTCCCTGCCTCCTCTTGGCGAGCTGACAGGTGCTGCTGGAGCAGCTGACATGTGCTGCCCGCACGCCTAGCGGTACTCCCGCATGTCAGGTCTCCACGGCTGCCGTTGTAATTAGGAGACGGTGCTTGCAGAGGGTCCCTCAGTGCCGGCAAGCGCTTATAATAGAGCGCAGGGAAGTGTCGGGGCCCGAAGGCCCTCGCCCTTACAGCAATTAAGCATTGAATTAGGTTGTCTCAGCAATTAAGGTTGACAGCAATTAAGCTGTGAATGAGGTTGTCTCCCCCTGACGTGAGAGCTGTTTTTAGAATTAGTCTTTCCTTTCTATTTCCAAACTTTCTCCCGTCTCTCTCTCCCAGGATGGGGGGGGGGCACTGTCGTCTTTCATTCCTTTGACAGTGATAACTTGCCATTTCGGGGTCACGACCCGTAAGGTGGGGGACATGGTGCTGTTCTCATCTTTGATCTGATTAGACTGTAGCACTTCTGGTCAAGGTGACCGTCGCAGATTTTCCTGCATCTTTGTGGGGTAGGTGGACATTTTGCAGCTCAGGCTGGGAATCGGTGCTTTCGAACAAAAGGTTATGAGATTGTCTGTCTGTTGTTTGGACACCAGTGCAAGGATTCCAAGTGACTGGGAATGTTGAAAGATTTTGATGCAGGAGAAAAAATGTTTAATCGGTTCACATTTTATGCATTTATCAGGGACTTATCCAAAGGTGACTTTTTTGAGAGGGAGAGGG